AATTAATATTGAATAACAAATGAAAATAATCGAATTCCGTTAGAAAAACAACACAATACAACAAATTCGCAGGGGCCAGGGATCGTAATAGAAAATTCATATTTCTTTGCTAATTCCGCTAATTGCAAATCTAGTAGGCTGTGCAGTGCGCTGCGTTTGACTTACGTAGGTATATGAATATATTTTAGTAGTATTTAGTAGTATATTTTTCGGGTTTGTAATTTTTTTAGTAAAACCATAGTGGTTTATTTTGATTTTTTTATTTTCTGCACTTAGCGGAGCCTCCTTAATTTATAAAAATTTTTAGGGGGGGGGCAGCTGCCCCCCCTGCCCCTCGCTGTGTACGCCCTTGATGGAAACCTCTCATATTCTTCCAGAAAATGTATAACGTCAAATCCCTGCTTAATTTTATCAAAATAATTTCCGATATTTTGATTTTTCGCCATCGTGCCGCTATAAAAAATCACTACTTTCACGAAAGTATTCCCAACTATCTAGTCAAGCGAGATAGTGCGACAGCACTGTCGCGACAGCATGATAGCTACTATCGGGTTGTTTACATGGTGATAGTTTGTGCGATAGTTACTATCACGACAGCAACTATCGCAAAAACTATCACCGTGAAAACGACCCTTTACAGTGACTCTCTACGTAAAGATTTATTTAGTCACTGTAGGTTTGCTATGCGCCATGCGCCCCTATCGGAGTAAGTTGTAAGTAGTTAATTATTGTTGATTGGCCGTGACCGTAACAACTGTTGTTGTTGTTCTGCGTTCATAAAATAAAACACTATTTAACGGAACTCGGCTTTGTTTTATTTGCCTAAATTACCTGAAATCAATAGTTATTTCTAAAGTAAATTTTTGGCGCAAAATGTTTACGTCACGTGGAGTATTTTTGAATAAACGATTTTTCAAAAATAGGAATTTTTGATAAACAAACAAACAATAAACAATAATACAGCGGGACATATCAGGGCTTCTGGAATGCCATTGCACCCACCCCCACCCACCACCCGTTGTTTTCCAATTACTGATTGGGAAATGTTGTAATAAGAAACTCGGAATTTCAAAACATTTTTTTATATGACATATTCAAGATTATTGACGTGAAAAAAAAATCTAGTTATAGGTCCATTAGGTCCTTATTAGAAAAAAATATTTCGATGATGGGCCCAGAAAACCGAAGCGCCGGACATACCATATGACTTCGAAGTCCGTCCAAAACTGCTCGAAGAAAGTTATAAAGTATTGGTTTTGCTCTATCTTTAAGAGTACAAATTCGGAAATCTGCTATAGCTACTAGGTAACTGATGTTGGGGTTGTGGAGCTTCTGCTTCCTAACATAGTATTAAATTAAATTACTCGTTAGACTGCTTTTTATGGTAAATGAAATGTATTTTTTCAGGAGTATTAAGTCCGTTGATTTATTTAGCGGATCTTGCCTGTAAACGTAACGCCACTGTCTCGAGCCAACTGCCTTGAACCTCGCTCGCCCAGCTGCAATCAGCCCAGCTGCAATCAGCCCAGCTACGTTCCAAGATTTAATAAAATCTACTTTCTCTGAATTTTCCATAAATACGCCAACCGTTAACCGTTGGAGTCTGATGGCTACACGATGTTATGCATTTTTATCCCATTTTGACGTTTAAAAATGACATTATTGAACGCATATAAGAATAAACGTAAGTAGACGTTTATCACCTCAGTGATTTAAAAATATTTTAACTCACTCTCGGCATTTTAAGTCACTCTGCCCAACTAAAAATCTGAAACCTCAGTGATTTAAAATATTTTTAACTCACTCCCGGCATTTTTCCTTCTACTTTTTTTTTAAAATTTTCACAAAATGGAATAAAATTTTGTATACATCACGTGAGTTAAAATGTTTATTCATTCCAAGAAAATTAACCCACTCGCTAGGGCTCGTGGGTTAAACTTTCTTTTCGTGAATAAACATTCATTTAACTCACTTGGTGTATAAATAACTATTAATGCATAACAAAAATAAATGAAATAAATGATATACTCAATTCACCTGACAATAATTTGTAGGCAAGCACCAAGGTCCAATAAGGACCCAAAACAATAGAGGTATCTGTTCTCCCCAGAAATCACAAAACTATCAGGGTCCTTATTCTTGAAACAAGGAAGCAACGTTCCCAGGATAACGAGTGTTCCGTCTTTCTCAATGATATGCAAATGATAATATAAGTAACAAAGACAGAACACTTGTTCTCCTGGGAACGTTGCTTCCCTGTTTCAAGAATAAGGACCCAGAGCGAATTATGGTTGAAAACAGTCAGAAAACTCTTTGCTGGCGATTCGCACCAATCAAAAACGCTCTGACTGGTTTGTGATTTCTGTGAGAACAGACCTAATGAAAATGTCCGAGTTACGACTGTTACGAGTTAAGGAGTAGGTATCAGAACTGTACATAGTTGAGGTTGAAGAGACTGGCAAACCTTACCTATCTCTGGTAATTCAACTTATTGGCAAAGATAATTTCTTCCGCTGGTAAATCTAACATAGGCAGTTCATAATTTCATTTCTACATTCTACCGGCAGGATAAATTTGTCAGAAATCTTGCCACCAAGTCCATCATTTAGTCCTAGAATCTGGAAATCTCGAGAAATTTGGGAAATCGACATTTTTCCGGAAATGTTGACGCCTGCGCAAACTACGTACCTATTTGTTTTTTATTTTATGATTTTCTGATGCTATCCTATAAACTCTTTTCTTTTTGTTTGAGTTTTTTTGGTTTGGTGCTCTGTATTTTTATTCTTTGCATGCAATTTTGAACAGTGAAAATACCGGGGAAAATACATTTTTTAACTAAACCCCACCCCAGATATATTTTTTTCCAACTAATCCCATCTAGCTAGGAATCTGAAGTTGATACTGACATATCAATATCGATGAAATAATAATTATTATCTACTACCTCCATAGAGAATTCGGTCAACATCCCTTTTTGGGGAGGAAAGAGATACTTTTTCTCCTTAGGAACATGAAGTAGGTACCTATTTTTTTTGCCATGACAGCCATTGGTATTTTTCACTTGATTTTTTTGAGAACAGGTTTAAGGCCGACTCATACAATAAGTCAATTCACGGTCTGATCACGGCCATTCCAGATCAATAATAGGGAATTATTGAAATACGGCCGCAGTTGACTGTGCCGCTTTAGTGCCGACCCAAAATTGACTGTGGCGGGCGCTATTTTGGCTCACAAAAGGAATTATTGAATGGCACATTGAAATCGGCGGTAGTGAACTTTGGCAGTGGCATGTCATGTTTTATTTTCATATTCCTAACCTAAAATTGCAAAATGTAAATACGTGTTTGGTGTTCTTCTAGTGGTCCTTCTTGTAGTTTTTTGTTGAATTTGTTTTGTTATTTCATCTATATTTTATAATGGAAGATATTGGAGGCCGTATTATTAGGGGATGGGGATGGGGATGATGACAATGTGGGATACGTCATTCTAGACTCTAGACCACATTTCAAGGCACCAAGGGTCGAGAATGATGAAAGGCGGGGCCCCGTGGTCATTGAAACGAAGTATTTGTGACTTTAAACTGTCTTTCTCTCCATAGGAGCCCATTCTAATAAAAAAATCCAACACATGAAATGAACAGAACAGGCAAATCGCTAAAAAAAACCTATAAAAACACAACACCAAACACCGCTAAGAAGCCACTAACCTGGCACTGGAAATTGAAGAAATAGGTTTGGTCGGACTTCGTTTAAAATCAGTTCTGAATTGAACTGCGCTTGCGCATTTTTTCATATCGAACATATGTAAACCAATGCGCAAGCGCAGTTTAGTTCAGAACTGATTCTGAACTAAATCTGAACAAACCAATAAATGTAAATTAATAAAAAAAGTGAGGTCAACATTCGAATAAGCCTTGACGGACGTCAACTTAAAAAAAAAAAGAGACATAGGGACGTGACTGTGCCTGTTTATGGCCTGTTTTTATTTTCCACAAATAGTGGAAGGCACAAACTTTATTAGTGGCGGCACTAAAAATTAACAGTACTGCCCGCCACAACGCGCGCGTCTCAAAAACGTCAAAATATTGCCTAGCGCTATTAGTGCCTGGCATTTTTTACTCTTCAATAATTCCCTAATAGAAGTATCTACTCAATGGCTGCGTTCACCAGAACCAAAACGGGTTTTTAACAGTTTACAAATACCAACAGAATATGTTGGGTAAACTCTTGGTTCCGCTGACTAAACGATCGAGATTGCTTGAGATTGAACTTTTCAAAATGATAGAGCATCACCCTCTGAATGTCATGTCAACACACAAAACACAAAAGTCTTTTTCCCTGGTTTAAACTAACTGGGTTACAAAACGGTTAGTAACGGTATGTCAAGTGATGACGTCATTGAAAATGCCACTTGAAAACGAACGGTTAGAAAAATGTTATTTTAAATTAGGAAATCCAATGACCTGTCAATATTTAGAATTGGTTGATGTAGCCTCTAGTAACTGCACCAAAATTTCACGTGTAGGTATCTTGAAAAAAAATTTACTCATTATGTATTTTAACTTCAATTGCTTCCATGTTCGTCAACGGATTATTAGGTAGGTAGAAACTTTAAAATATTATTAACAAAACACAGAATTTTCCATTCAAGTTGACACCTCACAATTTTCCCGCTCAAGGTTATCCACAAATGTTCTAGTTTTTTGTTCTAACCGTTAAACGTAACCAAATCGCCGAGCTGGTTACAGAAATGACATACCGTTTTCTAACCCAGTTACAATGTGACGTCATCGATCCAACAAAATATTGGATAATGATAATGAAAAATAAAAATGTTCAGAAGCAAGGCATAATTAAAATAAGCGTGTCGGAAATCATTAATCATTACTGTGATTCTGGAACGCAGTCATTCTCTGATGCGGCACCACCGAGGTCACCCTCTCTTGCCTCTCCAACATGACGCATAGGATAGAATCGATAAACGACAAGTTTAGTGTTTGTCGGGCCGCTAACCGATACGGTTGTCGTAACGTCAAATTTACGTTTATAACGGTGAAATTACGTGGGTAAATAAAGTTATCGGGGCTCGGGATGAGCGGCAAGAAAATGTGGTGTAGGCCTCGAGAGCGCTTGCGCTACACCAACGAGCACAGCCTGATGGTGCTGAAGGAAGTGCTCGACCGCAACCCGTTCGAGGACCCGTACCGCTGGAGTACCGTGCATGATAACTTCGTGCGAATGACCGGTCGCCCACACACGTTGCGATCGGTCAGGGAACACGTTGACTACCTGCTGAAGCTCTACGTTAAAGGGGACTTGGAAAAGTGAGTTTTTGTTCTGTTTGCGTCAGTGGCGGGCTGATTTTTCAATGAAAATTTCAGTATTTAAATGAAAAAAGCCAAACTTTTGAAGTGAAAAAGTACCCTGCGACTTGCTGCTAGAAAGCAAGAAGTGATGTACAGTCGTGAGCATTAAAAATGGGACACACGATTTTCCCTATTGTAAAACGAGCTCACCAGCTATCTACGGCAATGGCAGGTATTGTCATATTTGAAAAAAAATTCGTTGCAGAGAAAAGACTAATTTACCCAAAATAGCGCAAAATTACAAAAATTGTCAGTCGGGTGTCCCACTTCCAATGCTCACGACTGTAATACTATGGACGTGTTCGTTTTTGTCATCTTTTTCGTCGATTTGCTCCGAAATTTTGACAGGCACGTGACTGGATCAGACAGTTTCAATTTACAAATCACGTGCCTGTCAAAATTTCGGAGCAAATCGATGAAACAGATGACAAAAACGAACACGGCCTATATTGTGTATTTAGGTGGAAAAGTGAAACATTCTCGGCCGACGGTGTGCCGGCAAACACCGAAGGCCGAGAATGTGCTTTTCCACCGAAATACACATACTATTTTTTCTGAGATGGGTTAAATATCTGTTAAACGTTTGTATTTTTGTTCCAATTGTTCTGCAGTACGAGAATCACTTTCCCGGCCTAGGCCGGAAAAGTGATTCTCGTATTGTTATTCATTGATTCCTTAGCAACTATTGAAGCATAATTAAAATACCAGAATATTGGATTTTGCGACCTGTCAACCGGTCAAAAATGCTGACATTTCTTGTCAATCTCAGAAAAAGTATGTTTTTTTATTAAAGATAAAAGTCAAAGTGACATTATGTTAGCAATACAATGTAAAATTGTCAATGCTTTCAAATTTTTTCTTTAGAAAATGCTTGTGTTGCCAACATAGTTACTAAATTTTTGACTTGGGGAATTATCTTTAAAAAAAAAAACAGACTTTATATGCTAGTTATTTTAGATTTTTGAACTTTTAGAAAATATAAGATTGCCAAGATTGGTTTCACACCCGAATGGCGTCGCAAAAATGCAACGTTGCAACGAGCGACTCGGAATGGAACATTTCGTATATTTTGATAGTTTGCGACTTGCAGTTGTTTATATAGGGTGGGGCACGAAAAACTTACCACCCAAGTTTTCTCAGATGTTAGGTGATTAATCAAAAATCGCTCGGACGTCACTTTTTATTTTTTTGGGGGACACATTTTATTGGTATTTCCTCCCCTTACCTGTCAACCCCTAAATGGGGGGTGACAGGTAGGTACCCCAAATAGAAAGGGGGGTCGAGTGATACGTCATTTGCTAGCTATTTGTATTAAGATTGTATCCCCAAGTTTCATGTTGCTACTTTTACCCTGTCGAAATGGCGGCTTGTCAAAGTTGAGTAATAACAAAACAAAAACAACATATTTCTCAAGTGAATAAACATGGACCATTTTAAATTGAACTGTTGAATGACAATACTTGAAAATCTTGAAATAAATTCCAATGTTATTTTATCACTATGGATGGGTACCTACCCTTAAGAAATCTGTTGTTTTGTTACATTGGCGTATCCAGGATTTTGGTTTAGGGGCTGTGCTATCAAAAAGTGCTGATAAAAAAAAGCGGCGGAGGCGAAAAAATTTTTTGGAGCCACGCCCAATTTTTGTAAGTAATTTACCTGTAGCCTAAACGTTACGCGACTATTTTTTTTTTCGGGGCTAAAATAGTAATTTTTTGTGCAACCAGCCATCAAATAAGTGGAACATACAGGGTGAGTCAATAAAAATGGAAACCTTTTTATTTTAAATGACACACCCTGTAAATTTTTACGGATATCGATAGATCTTTGCAAGACAAATTCACTAATATGGGGTTTAGGGATCTTATCTGTCAAAGTGACGGAACAAGTAAAAAAACTAATTCAAACTGTTTATTGTTATAAACACTAAAAATAATCACAACAAATGTTCGAAATGAGCTCCATTATTAGCTAGACAATAGCCTAACCTGTCCTTAAACTTCTGGATAATATTACCGAAGATTTCACCTGGTATAGATCGACTTTCACCAAGTATTCTATCTCTAAGGTCGTTAAGATCTAATGGTCTACTTTCGTAGACGTTTGTTTTTAAATGCCCCCACAGGAAAAAATCCAGGGGTGTGAGGACAAATACTTACGATCACTACAAGATAAGGTTATTCCTAGTTCAAATATGCTGACTCCAAACAGGCAGAATACTTAGTTCCAGCAAGATGGTGCAACAACGCATTTTGGTGTACAAGTCCGGAAATTTCTTGTTCTTGATGAAGAGTTTCCAAAGTAGGACGAGGAGGTGAAAATGAATAGACAGCGAGATTATCGGACCTCATCCCCTTCGGTTTTTTCCTGTAGGGGCATTTAAAAACAAACGTGCATGAAAGTAGACCATTAGATCTTAATGACCTTAAGAATAGAATACTGGGTGAAATTCGATCTATTCTTGGTGGAATCTTTGGGTCAAATTCGATCTATTTAGGTGAGATCCTCGGCAATGTTCTCTAAGAGTTAAATGACAGGTTATTGCCTAGCTAGTAATGGAACTCATTTCGAACATTTGTTGTAATTATTTTTAGTGTTTATAACAATAAACAGTTTGAATTTGTTTTTTCACTTGTTCCGTCACTTTGACAGATAAGACCCCTAAATCCCATATTAGTGAATTCGTCTTGCAAAGATCTGTCAATATCCGTAAAAATTTACAGGGTGTGTCATTTAAAATAAAAAAGTTTGCATTTCTATTGACTCACCCTGTATTCTTACATAAGCGATTTTACACCTGAATGATCTGGAGCTTTTCGTTACAGAAGCATACCGATTTTAAGTGAAAAATATTCCGCCGTTTTCAAGATATTAGCAATATTCCAGACCTTTTTTACACCCTGTATAAAATATTCTCTTGAAAAAAATGGTTTAGACATGCCTTGGGGGTGGGGGGGGGGGCTGCACTGCAGCCCCCCCCTGGATACGCCTATGTTTTGTTATTATGTGATAAAAATCACAATGTTCAGATACTCGGAAAAAAACATTTTTCCTAATTTTGACAAGCCGCCATTTCGGCAGGGTAAATAGCAGCAACTTGGGGGATATAATCTTAGTAGAAATAGCCACCAATTGACATATCAAACGATCCCCCTTTCTATTTAAAATTTTGGGGGTTCCGAGTCTCCGCCGTTTAGGGTTTGACAGGTAGGGGCGAAAATACCAATGAAATGTGTTCCACAAAAAACAAAAATTGACGAGTCCGAGCGATTTTCGATTGTTCACCTAACACCTGAGAAAACCGGGATGGTAAAGTTTTTCGTGCCCCACTCTGTATAAATTTTCAATTTGTACAGGATGGTCCAATTTGGATACATTTAATAAGAAACGTCAATATCTGAACGGGATACAAAAAAATTAACCCCTCCAGTCTGATGCTCAAATTTCATGAAAACTTGATCATTCTCATTTTCCTTACAGATATAAAGTTCTTTTCTAATGCTAATGCTATGTGGTTCTCTTGACAAAAACGAATTTTAATTTTATTCTAACAGAACAGAATTAAACTAAAACTGAAAATAAATAACTGTCAATATTGACAATATTAATATATTAAGAAACTGCTTTCCTCGCTATTTTCAGAAGTTTTTTATATTTTTTTTTTTGAAAGTTTTCAACTTGACACCCTGTATATACCACAAAAATTTATGTCAATCTATTTTTCCAGTGCGGTTTGGGGTAATTGCACAGCAACTTTTTTTTGACAGCATGAAACAACGTTGCCACGTTTTATTTATTTAGGCTTGCCATTCAACCGACGTAACTTTATTATTTTTTGAATTCGAGAACGGCTGGACCGATCTTGAATTTAATACAACGTATCTCTATACAGGGTGTTCGGCACATGATTAGACATACGTAAATCTGAGATAGGTGGGGCCGTCTGCTATGCGTTCCACCCACATTTTTTGACCTGGACCGTAAGAATTTTTTTTTAGAATTTTTTAATTTTTTTTTCAAAATTTTGAATTTGCAGGTTTTAAACTGAAATAACCTCGGAAATAACTTTTTGAAAAATCATGAAACTGACAACATTTTCATTTTATTTTCATCTAGACTAATTCTAGAATCATACAAATTTAATAATTGTGGCCCATGACAGCTACAAAGAAAAATACGGGCCCTCAAACCACAAAAAGAGGTAAAAAATACTTATAATTATAGCCAACTTTGCATTGCATTTGAAAAAAAAACTAGAAATGATCGAGTATTTCTAATTAGTCAAAAACATCTTCAATTCATCCCCTTTCGAATGATATGCAATAACCACAATTTGCCTAACAACGGCAAGAGTTATTTGTCAACTTTATCAATGGTGGGCATTTTTTACGAAATTCTACTTTTGAGGTAAGTGTATTTTTTGCGTTTAAAACTTACAGGAGTTACCTAATAAAACAGTATGATATTGATTCCATAATGTATTCATAAAAATTATTCGAATTGCCGCCCTCCATTATTTATTGAAAATTTTGAAAAAAAACAAATTGACAAATAAAATAAAAAAATCTTAGGGCCCAGGTCAAAAAATCTGGGTGGAACGCATAGCAGAAGACCCCACCTATCTCAGATTTACGTATGTCTACTCATGTGCCGAACACCCTGTATAAGCTGAATTCGATTGACCTAGATTAGATCGATTTGGGTTCAATTTAAGTGAACTTCTTCTGATCTAGATCATTTTTTTGTTGATGAAGGTGCACTGATCCAGCCTCAATCGAACACAGTGTGGTTCACTTAAATTGAACCAGATCGATCTAATCTGGTCAATCGAATTCGGCTAGCGAGGAGAGTGATATAGGCTATTTTTTATCCCGAAAAAAAAAGTTCGGTTGCGCGAAACTCTGATACACTGGAACACCTATAAACAGCCCGGGGCGCTCTAGAGCAGCTCTGGAGTG